TCAAAACCCTCTTTTACTGAGAAGGATCGAAATTTTCGGAAAAACTTAGATTTCTAACTCAGAACTAAATATTATTCAAATGTATTATACATCAAAAGATAGAGCGTCAAAAACTGCATAAGATGATATATTTGAAATTTGATTATGATCGAATTTTAAGAGACGTTTCTTCAAAAGAAAGTTTTGGAACACACGGCTTATTCCGATTTTTGACGTTTTAAAACGTCCCCCGTCCCGAAAGGGTTAAAATAACGGTTTTTTCTATGAGATTTGTTAAGTTCTTCTTGTTCTTGATCAGTGCAAGTATAAATTACTAAATTACCGTACTATCAAGATCATAGTACGGAATTTTGGCTTGTGGTGTAACAGCTCCAGTTTGGTTCTTCTAAACTCGAACTAGCTAATAAAGACACTTTCTTGCGGAGTTGAGTGTTCTTTACCCTTTTCTTGTCTGTCTGTAGTGAAGCTGATATAGCATCAACGTTTTATTAGCGGTTCTAAATTAAAATACCCTTACGAGCAGTCCCCATTCGTACTATTTATCAATTCCAGCGTGAAAAAACTGAAACTGATCACCAGTTTTTCTCCAGTTTTCACCAAATTTCTCAGTCAGTTCTGAGAAATTTGAGAACTGAAGTTATTTTACGAACATAATTGTAAAGTCACTTATAATGCAAAACTTACTAGCTATAGTTCAAACCTGACGTCTTTTAAAACTGATAAAAATCTCATACTGGAAAATGTTGTGAGGTATATAGTGTGACAAGACTTTTTACGCCGATGAAGTTGTGAATAAGTGAATACCAGGATATATGAAACTAGTCTAATGCATGTTTCCACAGAAAAGTTTATATGTATATTTTTCTGACTCGTTTCTATGACATCTTCATGTTTAGTCCTCTCTAGATCATGCTTTGAACACAACAGTTACATGTCGTTTTAAAGTTTATTTCATTAGGCAACTTCAGTTCTCTCCCTTGTTCTTTAGTTCCTATAACCAAAGAAAAAGAAAAGATTTGTAGTGGAAAAGAAACACAGTTTCACATTCTCATTATTCAGTAACTGAAAAGTTGAATATTTTTATGTTGTGTTCTTTTTCTAACACTTCGCACAATCATTAACATTCTTTTTTTATGAAAAATAACGTTCTTGTTAAATAGGTGTTATGTTTGAAGCCTTACGGAAAAAATGTTACTTACTTCAATAATTCTAACATTAAAGTGAGAGCATTAGTTGCATAAATCCACATCTGATTGAAAATTTAATGTATTAAGCATCTTGATATTTCTTTTTTCTCGTTTTTATCAGATCTATGAATGAGTCTAGATAAAATGTTCTAGACAATGATCATTTTAATAACAAAAAAGTTACTTCTCTAATAATCACATACGCACATCATTTTATGAATTTGTCCTAAAAATGAGATAAGTAAAATGAGTGATCTAACTCTCTCTCTCCCCCATTCTCTCACGTGAACATGTAAATTCACATTGCATAAGGATTAATTGTCTCGACAACAAAAATGAACTATGTTTAGATGATTATTAGATCATGCCTTCAAAACCTCTCTATATAAAGTCGAGATTTTGTCCAGTCATTAGAATATTTATAAAAAATGTTAAAAAAAGATAGTTTAAAAAGTAATTCAGTTACTGTACTACAGAAACAATTGAATACTCATCATCGTTCGTCATCATCATCATTAAAAAGCGTGAGAGCAATTGTTTTACCAAAATTATCGTGCAAAACATGTAAACTAGGCTATGCAAAATCAAAAGCGCAAAGTCTATTTAATGGACTAGGTATGTACTGTAAGAGTATTATAACAGTTGAAAATAAATAAGCTAGAGAAAAATAATATTTTTCAAAAGTTTTATACAGCAGAGAAACATTTTTAATATCAATCGAAGGAAATATTCTAATCGAATGTGTTCGACAAAGAAATTGGTACCTTCCTTTAGAGTCAGTGTATCATCAACAATTTTTGACAAAAATTGAAGAATCTATAGATTACTTTTCTTATAATCTCTTATTTCTATCGTTAATCTAAACCCTACCCTTAGAAACCTTGTTGTTACTGAGCAAAATAATTTTCTCTGATGGTGTACTCCATTTTAATGTAACATATAACAGAAATTTTGTTTATATTCTAACTTTCCAACGATTAGTCTTTGACAGCTCATGTTCTCTAATTTTTACATTTTTCTTCATGTCTAACTAAAGGACATACATATATATACAAAGTGGTTTGGCAATATTTTTACGAAAAGACTTACTCGAATTGATCAAAAAACTGTCTTTCTGAATTTTGTAATGACATAACTAGTCGGTATTTGATACATATGATGGATGAGTACTCGTATAAATAGTCGTTATTTATGAGGCAACAGAAATTCTCTTATTTGTCTTAAATATAATTTAATTAAATCTTATATATATATATGTGTGTATGTATACTCTGTGGAAAGCAGATGACCAACTTCTATTTATCTTAAGAATAAGTTGTTGTTGCATACATATCGTTTATTCCATTATTAATTCATTTGTATGATGAGAGGCACACACATACATATATCCATTTATTTAATTATATAACATCACACATTTTCTAACAACTTCATTATGTGCTCAAGTGATGTTTGATTCAAAAATACCGCAGGATTTTTCCTTTTTTTTCTTTTCTTTACAGCGTCGATGATCTCCGCCTATTATCAGACAGCCACAGTCATTCCGTTGTCTTTGTATTGAGTTTTTTTTCTCTCTGTTTTTCCTACTTGTCAACTCGTTTTTACTACATCACCATTTTTCTCTCTCTCTCTCTCTCTCTCTCTCTCTCTCTCTTACTCAGGTTTTCTTCTTTTTTTTTTGTCCGTATAGCAGCAAATATACTTTCTCTTCTTCTTTAGTGCTTTTTTCTTTTTTATGACCATGTACATTGTACACACTTAGAAATATAAATTGATGATGTTATAGTATGTACATTCACTCTTCTTCTTCTTCTTCCCTTCTTCTTCTTCTCCCTCTTCTTCTTCTTCTTCCTCTGTTCTTCTACAACAAAACGAAGCAACTAATAAACGTTACAAACTGATTAGATGATGATCTAGTTAATTTAAATGAAAATTTTTTTTTATCGATTTTATATACATTTTTGATTGTGATGTCCATGTCAAATCAATTTTCATCGATTGATTTTTAATACACGTGGTGTACATATACCTTTCATTCTTATTATTCTATCACCAGCAGCCTTCATCGTCGAACATAGATAAAAAAAAAACTTTTTTTTATTTTTTTCGTTGCTTTCTTTTGCGATTATACTGTACAACAGCAAGCAAAAATACAAAAGCCTCAAAAGACGTTTGTCTCTCGATAGTAATAAAACAATATGTCAAAACAATGTTATTATTGTCGTTGAGCCTAATTTTCTTCACATTTTGTTTTTTTTTTAAAATTTTTCTCAATTTTAAAAATTTAACTAATTAATAAAGTTTCTTTCTCCATATGGATCCACGTTATCGTTTTTCGGCACGTATGCCACCACCACTTCAAGATAGTAATCAAATATTTACAAGTCGATACAATCATCGTCCCGTAATATCCACATCAAATCATCGAATATCTCGTTATCCTATTCCAATGTCATCAGCAACACCACATCTATTTTCTTATCAACCTCGACATCGTTTTCTTTCAGCATGGGATCTTGCACCAAATCCAACAATTTATTTATCAGCACGAAATATTGGACAATCAATGAATAATTCACCGTCTTCTTATCATCATAATTCATCATCGGATATTCTCGAAAATAAAAATAAATTATCATTACCTCAACATTCTTCACAATCATTATTAACAAACAATAGTAAGTGAAAGATGACGATCGATCACTCTGTTCGTTTTTTGTTTGTTGTTGTCTAGTCTTTCATAAATATTATTTATCTAAATCAGCAGGATACCTGATTAAAACCTAAAATTTTCATATTCATATTTTATTATCAAGATTGATTAAAAAAAATTACTTAGTTTTGTTCAAGGTAAACAGAGCGAGTAAATTTTAAACTCAAAGTAACTATTACTTTCTACTCTCTGTTTAATATTTTGAATGATTGAACTGGACAGGTATACTTTAACTTTTATTCTTTGTCTGTGTGTATGTATGTGTATAATTACAGAGATTGAAGTTTTTTTTTTTTTATACTGATGCGTATTACTATTGAAGAGGAGGAAGGAGTATTTAATTTCTACATGATTGAATGAATGTCATTGAATAAAAAGAGATATGTACATACACCTGTACAGTGTTTCTGTCTTTTCTCTCTCTCTCTGTCTCTCTCTCTCTCTTTATATATATATATATATATATATATATGTTGATTCAATATTCAATTGAACCATCACACTCTTCTGTTGGATTCAAATCAAATAAATAAATATATATAATCAATTGTATTATAAACCTCATAATAAACGATGAGCGTTAGACTGAACCACCTGTTGTTTTATTGCATTTAAGATAAGAAGAAAAAGAAACCCATACAGTTCATATGTAATGATGCTTATATGTTCACCAGACATTACGACATTTAGAAAAAACAACAACATAAGTGAGACATGGCACAAGAAAAAAAGAAATGAATACCGTTTTAAAAGAGAAAATAATATGGTACTCATCTATTGGCTATAGAGAGTTCTCATCACTCTCATCAATTTGAGATAGATTGCACAATAAATAGAATGTCTTTTTGTGATAACAACGCATTAATGAACTGAAGATCTTTATTATTATTATTTTTCTTGTCTTGTACAAAACAAATGTTTGAATTCTTTATATAAGCCAGATTGAACATAATATATCGTTATTTTTTCTTATCTATTGTAATTGATTCTCTAAAATGTACATCAACTAGAACTAATTATTGAGCTCACTCAGTATATCAAATAGAATAATGATAATCGTTGAACTCTAAGTGTATACGACGACAGGGTGGAGTAAATGAAGAATATGTTGTATGATCGCATGTAAAGATTGATAATTAATGTTACAGTACTCTTTATATATGTATAAATATATACACTGATTATTTTATTGAAAATGATGACAGAAAAAAAGTATATCTATTTTATTCATTAATTTTTTTTTATTGACAATAGCTACATTATAACGACTTGGAGTAAATAAATAGTTATTAGTACTGGAGAGAGAATTAGTCGGTTACTAAAGAAATATTTATTTATTACATTTGCAACATCAAGTGATTTCTCAGCCTGTTCGGTTAGTTTTTCATTAAACCTAAGGCCAAAATACGATACAAATAGCAGGTTGTTTATGTCTTGATACTAAATGAGAGTGTCTTACACTATACAGAATAATAGAATTTATTGAAATGTTAAGTGAAAGCTAAGTAACTTTCAAATAGTTAATCTTCTAATTGTAGAGATGAATCAGTCATAGTATTTATAATTGACAAAAATCTTTAGAGAACAAATTTTTTCATTATTAGAAGCAAGATACAAATCTTTTGCATAACGAACAGGTTCGTTTTCACTGAAAACAAGAACTGATTAATGAAAAGAGCAAGATCATTGGTGTGCAGTGTACGACCCAAGAGTAGATTCGAAAAATATTAAAAATTACTGAAAAAAACTGACTTTTTTTGCGTGATTTCTATTTCTAGTATTTTTCGAATATCTCGAGAAGGCAAGCGTATTTTTGGAAAAGAAAAAGAAACGAACCTCAGATAGGGTTTAAAGTATCTATGGTGAAAATCTCAACTCTATCACACCATTTTTTCGAGGGGTCGTAATGTGATCGGATAAAATCCGAGAACCCATCGAAGATCATATAACAAAATTCTGAGAAAAAAATACATCGGGTTTCTCTGCTCTGTTCTACCTCTAGTATAAATTTGAGCTCAATCGAACGCTTGTCCGCATTTGGCAATAAGGTAAAAAAAGAGGGGAGCGGGGATACCCTTAATCGTCCCTGCTCATTTTCGTTTCAAGCTCGTACTACGCTTCGCCGTTAATATGCGAAGTTGAACATTTGTGTCTCATAGGAACGACCTATCTTTTTTATGAACGCATTTTTCACATTGTGAGACTGCTTTTGTATCCGCTAATACACTGAAGGATATCCCTATCACTTTGTTTCCAGCATTCTTTTGTCCATTATGACTGATGAGTAAAATGAGAAATTTAATGATGATAGGTTTTTATATTATATTTTTACGTTTCTTATTTTCAGCCACTCAAGAATTTCATCGAAAAATTCAGATTTGTGCACGAAATAATAATAACTTTTCTCTTTTCGTTAATCCATACTTGTTTTAGGATAAAAAATAAAATTCTGTTCTCCTAGAAATCCGAACTGTTTGTCAAACAGTGAAAAATATATCTTTGTAATCTTATTGCTATGAAGATTATTAAAATAAATTCAAATTTGTCAAATTTTGATTAGAATAACAAAAAAATTCTGTGTCGATTCTAAGCAAACTCAAAAGACTTTCTCAACAGTTCTTTCTCTTTCTTATTTTCTGAATGATATAAAATTTTAGATGCTGTATAAGATTCAGTTAACTTTTTGTTCATCTTCTCGTTTTCTTTAATGAAAATCATGAACTGTGCACACGCACATATTCATTGGTTAATTATATATATATATATGTTTGAGTAGGAGAGTATCCTTTACATCGACATATAGACAGATATTAGACAAGATGATCCTACGTAGAAATATACCTGTCTTTGTCAAAATGTACCTAAGTCGACCTTCTTGCTTTATTTACGGCACGAAATCGCACAACTCACGCCGCTAAGAAGACGCTGTTGCCGCAACGCGATCGCGACCAACTCTTATTTTACAAAAGATTTGTGATTCGCGATTGTGACGCAACAATTTTTTTCTTACATGATTGCTGAAGAATCTCTCACAGTGTCTCGCTGTAAATCGATGTGTTGGATGTGTTTTCCAATCACATCCAATAAGTTGACTTTCTTGCTTCATTCGCCGTGTGTACGCGGTTTTCGCTCTGAGAGCCCGTTACATTCACTCATCTCATGTCGCAGTCGTGTTCTTCTCTTATAATCACAACATGATACAGGGTGACGGCGCGACTTCGGTACAAATTCTGTTCACCGGTTTAGACGAGTAGTGTATAACTTTATATAACACTGATTTTCGAAATCTTCCCACATTTTAGTAATTAATCACCGTGGATAACAGTGATAGTCCAAAAGAACAGGGATCGCATCGTGATTAATATAAGACTCGCGTAACTGCATCATGATTCATCCGCTTTTCCGGTAGGAGTAGCGTGACTCATTTATTGTTAGTAAACGAAAAACACGACTAAAATTGATTTTTGTACGAGCGCGGAAAAATCGTGATCGCTAAAAACCGTATCTTATTTCGTGTGTCTTTCAGCAAAGGTGTTACGTGATCTCGTCGGGAATTTTTAAAGAGACTCGCGACGCAACATACAATAAGAAAATGAACTTGGGTGTGTCTAAAAAAATGATTTACTTTTATGTTCAAGCAACATTTTTCATATTATATAATAGAAAAAAATTCTTTTTAGTTTTAATGAAGGTCAAACACAACTAAATGGATTTAACTCATGAGGCAAAGTGAATTTTAGTTGCCTCTCTATTTTTGCACATTGTAGAAGGACAACAAACTCGAATCTTTGTCAAAGCGAAACTGAATACATTTCAAATGTATTCAGACATCAGTCAAGTAATGTTTTTCTCTTAAATTTTTTTCGAAGGTAATATTGAATATTTTTTGTAACCAGGATTATACAATTGTCAGTGACTTTCATGAAGTTAAACGACGGATTTAAACTAATGTTCTCTTCCCGAATATGTATAACTTCGTTGGTATTTTAAGGTGAGTTGAGAGTGAAGGCTTAGATTAAAAATTAAAGTTGTCTAGTTCTGATTAAAAGATTTTAATTTAAATAAACCGTTTGACTAGTACATACTAAAACTATACTATTTTCCTTTGGAAATAATAACGGTCAGTTTTTGTATAGATGTGTCCATTACAGTCAGTTGATAAGGCAACGGGGCTCCATTTTGGATTTTACTTAACTTTTATAGTGATATGTATTAATATTTAATTATTGTTGAAAACGCCATCTATGGAAACGCATCACCATATATTTATATGTCAAAAGATATGTAATGAAGATAAATTGTTCTTTCTTTTTCTACGATCTATAGTGTCGCTATTTGACTATGATATAGATAGTGCATCATAGAGAAAAAGATGCATATTTTCAATTTTTTTTCTTCTTCTCTTTCATGATATGTACATTCTGTGCTTGTATCTCATAACCCATAAGAAAACAAAACACGAAATATGTTTGCAATAGATATATACTATATAAAGCAAGGTTAAGCTGCATGATGAAATAAGCAACCAATTAAAAATACCTAATTATGTCATGTCCGGTAATTACGACGAAAAGTCATATGTAGTTTCGTACACGTGAACAAATTAGTTCTCGAGTTATAAAATTAATTATTATTAATTATTTCAAGTATCAATCAGCGTAATAAACTTCATTAACAACAAAACTATTTGAATATTTTGTCTTATGCGAATTTGTAGTTCAAAGTCATTTGAATTAAATGTGAGAAATATCTTCATTTCATTCCTACGCGTAAAAGCTTCGTTTTACAGAATATTTTGATGTTGTAATAATCAAAGTCTACACGTTTTTCATAATGTTTAGATTATTTTTCTAATAATCATTTCTGTTATAGATTTTCAGATCGATAATAGTCTGAGATAGAGATAGTTCGTTATGTTTTTACTTAGAATAACTTAAAAATTGGTTGATTTTTATTGAGCAATTGTAATGAGTAAACTATACACATTTTCTTCAAGAAATCTCTGTATAATTTGTGGTAATTCAACACGTATCAATATTTTTTCTTATTTCTGAACTGTTTTGTGTATGTTCGTGTGTGTTATACAATTTAAAACAGTTATTTTTACTCATCTTACGCATACATACACAGAGTATCCTCGACAACAATCTAACCACACGTACAACTATCTTAACTGCCGCTGCTGCTGTCATTTATTTATGACGTAATTTTCTTTTTTCTTTTTGTTTTCATTATAGAAGAGAATGAAAATGAGAGTTTAATTATAAACTGCTGCATAACGACGTTGTATCGTCTTTTTTGCAAAAGATATGGCACTGATTGCGTTTGTATTTAATTTACAAATATTTTAGCAAGAAGAAAAAATTTGTTCAATGATTTTTATTTTGTATGAAACTCGAGGATATTTGTTTTCTACTTCTCATTGTCTCATTTTTGAACATATGTATACGTGTGTCTATAAAGAGTATAAAAATTTTCTCTCTTTCTCTGTATGTACGTGGTATACTGTGAACATCGAGTAATTGAATAGTAAAAGATAGACAGTGATGATAATAATAATAAATACGATAAATGAACGAAGAGACCTAATATAAATGAGAAAAATAGATTAAGTACTTGTTTTTTCTCTCTTTATCGATAAATATAAACAAAGCAATAAAAATATGGGACACTCGTTTAACTAAGCTATAAAAATTGCCTTTTCTTTTCTACTCGACATACAAAAATATGAACTAAAATTGGTATGTATACAGAATGTGACGATATTGAGAGTAGTGTTAAGGAAGGGTCCCTTCATCCGATTTTTTCGACCAGTTTGTAGAGAACACTTAGACGTATATATCATGAAAATTTTCTCGGTTCCCGGCCTTGTAATTTTTGAGAATAAAAATGTTTAACTTTCTCCTCAATTTTTACTCCTAAATTTGCCTAAAATCTTTATTTTTCAAAATGATGACTGAACTTTGGTGTTATCCGATAGAGGACATCAAACTGTGTGTACGAACAACTTTCATCGTTCCCGGATGAAGGTCCACGGTAGAGACCTGCACGGGTTAACAAAAATATAAGCCGACCCGACAACCTTGTGTGCAAGAAAAGCAACCATTTTAATCGGCTTTGTGGAAGCAGTTGTTTTGAAATATGTATTTCAGCTGAAACTCCAATAGAGCTCACTTTCAAGGCAAAGAGTAATACAAAATTGAAATTATTATCTATATTTTGAATTGCATCGCAAGATGCAAGAGCAGGTCTCTAGTTCACGGAAAACTTTTAACTTTACGCGCTAAATGGAAGTTTGGAGCTAAAAGTATTTCTGTTGTTCAGAATGTGATTCTTTGGACTATGAACGAAGGATCTTTTGTAATACATGAAACTCGTATGTTCAATTTAAAATTCAGTCTTCATCTTAACAAATAAAGATTTTGGTGAAAATTCGGAAGAAAGTTAAACATTTTTTCTCAAAAATTACAAGTCAGGTATTGAGAAAATTTTCATGATATATACTTCAAAGTGTTCTCGACAAACTGGCCGAAAAAAACGAGTAGAGGAATCTCATCTATCAACACACAGAAGGATAACTTAGTGTACGTTTGTTTTACATGCTGCAACTCTCTCCGCTTCGTGCAGATTATCGAACATTAATCTACTTGAATAACAGTCAAATAAAGTATAATTTAGAACTTTAATCTAAAATTAACACATACTAGAGTTTCTTCGTTCTCTCTTATTCCCATGGATGTTGCTACCATCTTCCTTAAATTCTTTGTCAATAGCTGTAAGATTCTCTCTGCTTACTTAGATTATATTTTGGGAAAATACTAACTTTTTTTCTTTTCTCTTGGTTAAGAATGTGTCATCGCGATATTTCAACTATGATTAATTGATAGTAATAAATATCATATACTAAATAAGTCTTGATTGACATCTGGTACAAAAATGGTGTAACAGTTACAGGGAGAGAATGAGACATGAATTATACTCTATGAGATATCAAAAGAAGAAGAAAAACATTGATTAAGGAAGGAGAAAAATGTATGCCTTAGTTTCTCTACTGACATCATGTACTTTTGAGTGAATAGAACTGAATATATAACTGAAAATAGATCTATAACGGTGGTATATTATCAACTCTGTACCCGTCTAAATTTTTTGTTTTTCAACTTACAAGGTTTACTAGAAAATTAATCTGAGCTCAAACCTACTTGTTTAGGATATCAGTAGTACTTTTTCTATACTATAAGCTTCCCAACAATAGAGTTTTTGGACTGTCAAGATCTCAATAGATTGTGATAATTTGATGTAAAAATCCTTAAAAAAATATTCGGAATGAAAATAATGAATGATATAAGATATTGACTGAGGTGTCTCGATCATTGGGATAGAGAGAGAATCAGTTCCCATGCTTTTTTGGTATTTACTCTCACATTGAAAGTCATTGACTTCGAAATTAGATATTTCGATACTTTACTCCCATTTTAGAAAGTTTGTTAAGCAGAAAAAAAGAAAAAATAATGTTCTACATTTATATTTACTCACACTTTTGAAAAATCTCTTTTTTTTCTTCTGCTTTTGATCTCTCTCGTTATTAGAAGATGTGTATCAGAGATATCAAGTTCTACAAATGTTCATTCTTTACCAACGTTACTTTTTGTGCTCAAAAAAGAATAACCTTACATATCACATTCTAAAGACTTCACAAAGAAAAAAAAACGGATAAAGAACACGATTTGTTTGTGAGAAAATGTCAGACTAATAAAATAGCAGAAAAGAAAAGGCATATAACGCATTGATCATGCATAAGATAGAAGTAACCTTAAGTCGAAAACAAACATAAAGAATTAAATCAAAAGAAAAAAATAAACATTGGAAACAGCGCGTTAATTGGCCCATTTTAATTGTTGTATAGACTAGAGCTAGGGAATTTAATTTAGTAGATTACTGCATATTCTACCGGTTTCGTTTGGATGCTGTCTAAACACAACGGTTAGATTTTACTTCTTCAATTTATATTCCACTGAATGACAATAGGGTGTACTATCAATATGAACTGATTGCATCCACTCATTAGTTATCTGGCAGAGCAATTAGACATATTTTCAAAGCACTCGTTTTCATCTGGGATCCTCATGGATCTCAGATGGACGAATCAGGGTTAATTGCTCATAGTTTATTTTTTAATTGTGATTGAGTTGATTCCTCCTTGCATTTTGGAAGAATAAGGTTTAAAAGATAAAATTCATGTAGTATAATTATCACTCCATCTTTTCTCACTGGCACTTGTTATACGTCGAACAAAAGAGTTGTTATACGCACAACAATATGATTGATAGGTTTATAAGATAAATCTATGCATAGAGTTAAATGTTCGAACAAATGAACATAAGAGATATAATGTCTTTTTGTATGCGTTACATGAGTTTTTCTTTTGAGGAAATATAAAAAAATAAACGAAAACGTATCCATTTTCGTCGTTGTCATCAACTGATTTATTGCATGGATATGTGTATTAAAAAAAATATACTCTCTCTTTTTATTGATGTTGTGTGAATGTGTGATATCAAACATGAAAAAACATTATCTAATCTTTATGTAAATGGTTTGACTCAATATCTAATAAGATCACATTCGAAGGAACAAAAGAAAAGAAGGAGACAATTTAACAAAAAAAAAAAAGAAAAGAAAACTCAAATTGAGATAGGAGAAATGTACAGATCGAACGATCGTATCATTCAGCAGATATCTCAATAATAAAAACTTTTATATAACAGACATTAGATGATACTGAGACTCTTGTGGATATTGACTGTCTAAACATCGACGTGATTATTTTCGATTAATTTAATTAGTTCTAAAATGAAGTCCATCCTTTCTGATAAAGAAATGGCAAAAAGAATAATTCTGTCATTACTATCATCATAATAATCACGGGATAATAATATCAACATTTTTTTTTTATTTTCTTTTTTATGCGTGTTTAGATCGTACGCAATTGCAATCAATGCCGACTAAAGATTTCAACGAATTTGTTGCTTTACCACGTGAATGGCGTCGAGGTGATGATATTTTATATTGGCCAAAAAATGATGACTACTACAATATACAATGGCTAGAAAAATTATGGAAATATCTCAATGATAAACTATCCAATGATTTATCATCGTTAGAGAATACAAATATTCTCTACGCTTTACCCTCTACAAATTCTACCATTCCATCTTCAGCCAGTTCACAACAAGCTAATACAATTACACTGTATAAATTATCGAAAAATATTGGTCTCATTCAAATGTTAACATCACCATCGAAAGATGATTTAAGTTTACAAAAAATATTAGGCAAATTAAATTTCCATTGTATTGATGCATTTCCAGAAATTATTCGACGACATCCACTTCTGCATGAATATGTACCAACCTTAACATGTCAAGGTATACTTTCTTTCTCTTTTTCTCTGTCTATCTAATTACAATAACAAAACTTTAAGTAATAGATTTTTTCATATTTATTTAGGTTTATTACAAATCTTACGTTATCGTTTACGTCATACATCACAATTAAAAATTCTTCAAGAATTTAATACACTTCTTAATGATTCTGACATAAAATTAATTCGTCAATATATTTCAAGAATTTCCTCACTCGAATTAGATGAATCAAGTATTCAATGTATTAAACAATTGCCAATATTTGATAATTCATACAGTGCACCAGATTCATTAAAATATATTTCATTGACAAATATTTTATATATTTACGAAAGTGGACCAAAATTACCAATAGATTTACAACCAAAATCATGTATTATTGTGACAGATACCGATTCTCGAATATTATTAGATAAATTAGGATATGTTATATACGATTTTACACATGTGGCAAGATATATAATAACAACGATTGGTGGAAATAGTGTACAAAAACAAGAGGCAACAACATCAAAAATAACGACAGATTATACGAAAACGGTAGCATTAGGTATGTTCTCTATGTCAATAAGCGAACAGATTAATCTTGCTGTAGAACTAAAGGATTAAAAATTATTAATACACATTTTATACACTTTAAAGCCCAATGTCCATTTGAATGGACATTGGCATTATCCTTATAACAAACTAAGGAAGCATTATTTAAAAAAATTGATCGTATGTTGGTTGTAGAGAATTAAATTGGCTATCGAATCGTAAATAAGAAATGTTGTTTGTATTGTATACTAGCTGAAATATTCAAATTTTAAAATGAAGACAATTTTGAAAACATTTAATTTTTTTAATATACTTTTTCCAGGTACGTTAGAAAAATCTTTTTTATTCAATGACTTTTCAGAAATATGTAGGGACATGTGCTCTTTCAAATTATATCCGTTGAATAAATTATTGTTGAAAACTGTAGGCTGCTGACGGTACAAAACGAAAGGTCATATTTTGCTGGGATTTCTGAGCTCCGTTTCTTGAGCATTCTGGATTTTCTTTATCATCTCAGCTCATTTTCTGTCTCAACTTCGTCAAACATAATGGTTTAAACTTAGATACCTTTGGTCTTTCTTTTCTAACGAGAATTTTCGAAAAACTAATTTTCTTCAAATTTTTATTGTAAATTTGAATTATAAAAATTTAACTTTTTTTAAAATGAAAAGCATTGTTTGTCGAGCATGAGAAAGTCATATCGAAGTCTCATATGTTTCATTTTCATAAACGGTTGACCCAAACCCAATCGCTAAAGCCTTGGAGTTAACTCTTAATATCGAGATAAAATATAAATATTTATTTATCTACGTGAATAAAAGATATTTGGATAAAACATCAATTCGATTTTCTTCACTTTTTAAACTGTATTGTTTAACGAAGTCTTTACAGTTATTTTCATTGTAAATCTATGACAACGGATATTGTCCTTTTTAATAATACGATCAAAATTTGAATAATACACTATTTCTATGCAATCACCATCTCTCGAATTACTGAATAATAGAGCAATGATATAGAAAAGAAGAAAAATGAAACTAAACATTTTTTTTTAATACATTGAGTTGTTGAGCTTGTAGAATTAAAAAGTGACACAGATTAATTATGATTATTAAATACTCTTATTTGTATCTACTGAAGCAGGTAACTAATAGACAATTGACAACATTTACAAGTATATCATATTTTCTATTCTTGTTAAATGAATTTTTTTCGATTATAAATAGATAAATAGCATTTCTATTTGAAATTATTATAGATAACATTTTTAATAATATATTTTATTTTATTTCTATCTCTTTTCTAGGTAAATGGCTTCTATCTTATTGTAATTCGTTGATATTAAACGATGTTTTATGTCAAGAAAGTTTATCATCATGTAAATTATTTTTAAATAAAAAACAAGAACTTTGTTCATGTTTACAATTAATTGATCCATATTTTAAAGAAAAATATTTACCATTATTTGATGCTCGCCTATTACCATGTCAAGATTTACTTGACAATGATAAATATTTATCAATATTAAAACATTTAAAATTACGTACATGTTATAATTTAAAATGTGATGAACTCATTGATATATGTGAACAACAAAAAGATCAAAATAGACAACAGAATCGAGTTTTATTAGCCGATTTTATATTAGAAATACTCATTCATAATCCAAAATTATTAGATGATTATTCACAATTAAAACGAATTGTATTTAAACAATATTTAAATATTACACAATGGGTACCTGTACAAATTGAACGACCACAACACTATCCACAAACATTAACTTGGCAAGGTAAAATTTGACATATATTCGATAATTTAACATTTATTTACAGTTTTTATTTTTTTGTTTTGTTTTAGGTTCAATTGATCCACGTCGTTTGTATGTTACACCACGTGATTGTACAGATAAATCTTATTCATATGTGATTGGTAGTGTTTGTTTAATAACATCATTAGATATACCATTGGAACATCGTGGTAAAATTGATTTAAAAGAAATTAAAATTGATTTATTAATTAAACATTTGAAAACAGTTATACACTGTTTTATGAAATGTACACCAACTGAATATAAAAATGAATATTCTGAATATTCAAATATATGTAAAAAACTTTATGATTCAATATCACATTTTGATACTATGGAAATATCAAAAGAAATGAAAATGAATGATATTACGTATGTATAGAATAATCTATTTCTATAAATAAGAATTCAAATGTTTTTTTTATTTTTTTTATTTTAGTGAATGGATTTGGAATGGTCAAACATTTTCGGCTCCCTCACAAGTCTATCTCATTGAAAAAACACATCCTCTAGCACCCTATGTATCAATTGTACCCTATGATTTTTATTCATTTTCAAATTTTTTTGAACGTATTGGTGTTAGATATAAAGCGGATTCATCAAAAATTGAAGATATTTTACGTGCACAACAAGGTGATGATCATTTTTATAAATGGATTCGTGATACATATTCGAACGATCATCGATTATTGCAATTAGTCAATGATGCTGAAATAAAACAACAACAGACAAGTAATATAAAAACAACAAAAATACCAACATCCAAAGATGAACAAACAAGAATTACATTTTCATCAACATTAGATAATTCAGACGATAAATATTATCTTTATTTACCAGGTAAATTTGATAAATTATATGACAAGATGAAACTATTTGTAATTAGATCACAAAGCTAAAAACGTTTATCCCTCTAAGCTGTTGAAACCATTTTCCAAAATCTCATTATAGTACTTTGTAGTATTTATGGTGTGCTCCATACAGGGTGATCCATAAGTTTTGGACACTCTCTTTAAATTGACATTATCTATATGATGGGGGTTCTTTAAACATTGAAAGTTTTGGGACATTTCGATTTCGGTTCAATTACGACGGCATCTCAACTCTCAGGATCATCTCCTTCCTATACACCATTTTGTAGAGAATTAAATGGGGAAACTTTTGCAAAAAACAGCTGAATCTTATTATGTGTATTTGATATAGATAATGTCAATTTACAGAGAGGGTCCACAACTTATGGATCACTCAGTATGTATCAAAGACGGCATTCACTAGAAGAAAAGTGTTCGAAATCACTGGTAGCCTTAGAAAATGTTCGTAAAAATGTTCGTAAAAATGATCCTTAGCTAGATCTATCTGAAAACAGAATGAAAGATTCTAACTTTTATTTTGTGTAATGTTTAAGTCGGAATTTTACCAAAAAAAACTGATTTTCACTCTTAGTATGACTTCTACTATCAAAAAGAGAAAACTAACCATGTTGTGTAAACCGGTCGAAAGCCATTGGTTAACACTAGAACGCCCGTAGCGGTCATTTTGACCGTTTTGTGATTTTTATCCTTAATAAAACAAACTGTATACAAATTATTTAAAAATAAATTATGTCATAACTTTTAATTTGTCCCACAAAAATTATTTTTTGCAGAATTTTCATTCATTTTTGAATTCAGAACCATTTTTAAG